ATTAATTTTAATTTGTTCTCGTTTTATCGTATATAACCAAGTTTAAATATCGAGTGTTGTTATGTGTAGCAACTGATAAACAGTAAAATTCATGTTTAATTTAATTTATTCAGAAAGCCAAAATATGGTGCACCGACCAAATATTAACAACAGTTACCACAAAAGCTTTGTGCGGACCTGGTTGTGAAGCCTGGTTGCCAGTCTGAGGAAAATTAATCTTTGCGGATTAAAGTTGTTTTGAAACAAAATTTGTAAAAATATATAAAGATAAATGTAGAGGCTCATAAAGGGAAAATCTCTACCAAAAGAAAAAGATGTTATGAATGGCAGAATAGTTCTTTGAAGAGAAGTATAACCGTTTTTTGAACTGCGTCATCAAATAAGATCTTATCTAATTTATTATTATAGTGACACAACTTTTTTAAACTGCGTTTAGAGTTGTTTAAGAAGTTGTAACTTAGTAACAGGAGCAGATTATAAAACATATAACAAATTTTGATAAATTATCATCATTACCAATTATTTCCCATTTTGATGGTAAGATCGTAAAAGTATCATTAATTTAAATAATTTTTTCCTCGTCGGGAAAGAATTATACAAGAATTTTTTGTAATTTAAGTAAATATTTTCTTGATAGTAATAGTTTTTAATTAATAATATTAAAAAGTATGTTTAGTGGATTGTCAGGGTTAGGGTTATCCAATATAATTTTAGGTTAAATTTTGTAAAAGGCAGAGTTTAATTTAGTGAAGTTAGAATTAGTAAATTGTTACAATTCCAAATCAAGTGAAGATTTATGATAAAAGTTTGTGTGCTTGTTCTGTCTGAAAAATATCTAAAACAATTTAATGCGTTCCAAGCAGATCAAACATGCCAACTGTACAAGTTCATTGTACCAAGATCAATATCAGTGATTTTCGGGTTCTACAAGGACTCTGTGAATTTTGCAGAAGTACTTTTCACAGAAAACAAGAAGAGAATTAAGTCGCACTTCCTCTTTTGTTTAACTAAGTGAGACATAAAACAAGAGACACGATTTGTTGTTGCCTAATCTGCCTAATTAGTTGTTTAAAGCTGCAAGAAAAATATCTTCTTAAAGAGTAAACTGCAATAGCTGAGCTTGTAGATCACTTAGAAACATGAATCTTGTGTCAAATATTTTGTATATAAGGTCAAAAAAATAATTTGTGGCCTTTTTAGTTTTATGAAAGAACAAAATGGTTGTTAAAATCTAAGATGGCGGCTAAAATTGAAATATTCAATATATCAGCTTGTTAATCAAATTGAAATACAATTTTTGCGTCAAGTGTTATGTTTTTCATTTCAAGCAATTCATTTTTCACACGTTTATTTTAGTGAAAAAAAATTATTGTCAATATCCAAGATGGCTGCCCAAACAGCAATCAAACTTAAATATGAAAGTTTGTATATCACTTTTAAAAACAATTTTTGTATCTTGTAATTTGTCATTGAGGATACAAAGTTGTAGCATGCCGAATCTGAATTTTCAATAAATGTTTTATAAATATCGGTATACAAAGTATACTTTGTATATCGGTATGTATAAAACATTTATTGAAAATACAAATACTAAATATAAATATTAAATAAAGAAATCGAAAACTTTTAACTATATCACATCATATTTTGAACAATAGCTTAACTACACGTATTTTAAAATGATACAAAATTATCATAAATATATTATCTCAAATTTTAATATATATTTGATTGTAAATTGTTCATATTAGGTCTTCATCTGAACAATTGACACTTCCATTTGTGTCATTGTCATAATCTTTTCATCAGATGTGTCAGCATCATTTACGTTTACAGGATTTTTCTCCGTGGCATGACCCACGCATTGATGAGCAATTCAAACCACCTAAATACAATTAAGTAACTATTAAAAGCCGTTTTCAATTATTGCAAATCAATTACTACATGAATGTATTATTTTAGTAGAAAGTTTTGTGTTATTTTATTCACTATTATCAGTGTTTGGTTTCTAGCGTGTTAAATAAATCAACAACTTTGCCTGAGTTGAATTAACTGTCGTTGATTCGTCAAAAATAACATCTGCTGAAACTGTTTTAGACTTGCGTTATCTATGTTCTTCTGTTTTGCTATTAGGTAAACTATCAGAATAGCCATCAAAAACAACTTAACAGTTTTTCCTATACTGATGTAGCACATACGATACATAACATTTATATATATATATATACATATATATATATATATATATATATATATATATATATATATATATATATATATATATATATATATATATATATATATATATATATATATATATATATATATATATATATATATATATATATATATATATATATATATATATATATATATATATATATATATATATATATATATATATATATATATATATATATATATATATATGTACTCGATGAGTCTCCTACCCTTCATCTTCTAGGATTAACTCTTACTTCTGATCTTTTTTGGAAACCTTATATCAAATCCGTTGCAAAATTAGCATCTGCTAAAGTTGCTTCTCTTTATCGAGCTCGTCACTTTCTTACTCTGGATTCTATTCTCTATCTCTATAAATCTATAAATCTCAAATCCGGCCTTGTATGGAATACTGTTGCCATATCTGGGGCGGATCTTCTAATGATGCCCTTTCTCTTTTAGACAAGGTGCAAAAACGCATTGTAAACATAGTTGGACCTGCTCTTGCAGCCAACCTTCAACCTCTGTCACATCGTCGTAATGTTGCTTCTCTTTCTCTTTTCTACAAATACTATAATGGGCACTGCTCTAAAGAGCTAGCGTCTCTTGTGCCATCTACTAAAATTCATTCTCGTGTTACTCGTCATTCAATTAAGTCTCATCCTTTTTCTGTAACTGTTCCTAAGTGCTCCAAAAACTCTTATTCGTCTAGTTTTTTTCCTCGAACATCAGTTCTTTGGAATTCGCTTCCTTCATCTTGCTTTCCTGATTTATATAATTTGCAATATTTTAAGTCGTCTGTCAATCGTTATCTTGCTCTACAATTTTCATCTTTTCTCTTCCAGTAACTTCCAACACTAATTAGTGGTTGCTTGCAACCTTGTTGGAAGCGAAGATAATAATAAAAAAAAAAAATGTATATTATATATATATATATATATATATATATATATATATATATATATATATATATATATATATATATATATATATATATATATATATATATATATATCTTTATATGCTGCAGGTCTCATCCATACGTGAAGAAGATACCCTCCATCGATGACAAATTTTGAGACAAGTGTTGTTTCGTCACATGGTACAATTGATTCTATTGTATCAGATAGAACTGCTTTTGAACTTTTTTGCATTAAAAGCGACTTAACAAAACGTGCTGGAGGCGTTGGTGCCAACTCGCACTTAAAACATGCTGCAGGTTCTTTATCCGTCCGTTTTAAATAAATATAAGCAAAATTCATTCTATTTACTCAAAATTAATTCATTCATAACTATTATGTTCATAGCATTTATGTCAGTCTTAACTGCTTTATCACAGTAAACTTTATTATCGCCCACTTTACCTTTGAAATGTGAGATCAGTTCAAGTCGGGCGCACAAAATGGTTCATTATTCCATCTAATAAAAATATCGGTATTGCAAATGTCACGTGCTTGCCTTAATTCACGCAATTCAACGTATTGACGATTTAAAAGTGATATTGAAAAAATCTTCAATACCTGTTGCAACAGTTTAACATCCGTGTATACCGAGAATCCAACGAGAAAGTACACTGTCAGTTAAGCCTCTTCCACGTGTAAGCCCACCTAATATCTTCATTGATATCATAAGTACCGGCTCTATGGTCATATTAGACCAAATGCTAGCCCAAAATTTATTTGTTTGGCGAATGGTGAAATATCCGTCATTTGTAAATTTTGAGTATTCTTCTGGAGACATTCTGGACTTAAACAACAACATCTGTTGTAAAGATAAATAAGTAATTAGCGGTTTATGTTGCAACAATGACTTTATATACGTGCGATTGAAGCCTCAAAGGAACTATAGTTGAGAAATAATAACTTATGAGCGTGTTATGAACCGCGCGTTCTAAGCCACATCGGAAATGACGTTTGTTTAGGGGTCGTCCATAAATTACGTCACGCAATTTTTGACCGTTTTCGAACTCCCCCCTCCCTCGTCACAAAATCGTAACACTTAAGAAGCGAGTTTTGAATGAGTCGTCACAAAACCACCAACCCCCTCCCCTCCCCTCCCTCCTTAAAGCGTGACGTAATTTATGGACTACCCCTTACGTTGTAATTAGTTTTTCAGATTCACTGTCAGTTGGTATAACAATTAATTTTTAATTTCAAATGTATATGAGCTGACACTCATAACATTGTAAGTGTATTAAAAGATGTATGCGTAAATGTATTAATTTTAGAATTTTTTTTGGCCGCCATGTTTTAGCTGTTTAGCTCAAAAATAAAAATGTCGCTAAATGAATTTCTTGACCTTAAAAACATAAAACTAGTTGCAAAACTCATATTTCTTAATCATCTACAGGCTAAGATATTACAAATATTATTTTAGGCGCCATCTCGGACAAAGCTCCAGTCTGAACTTGGCCGATTTGATCCAAAATTAATAACAGTGCACGCTTAAACATTTTATGCAAATTTCAGCTTGCTCCTAATTTTTTCTAGGTAAAAGACTTTTTTTGCTGAGCTAATTATAATTAAAATAAAAGTAATATTCAAAAACTAATGATTTTTAAAACTATATATATAACATTAAAAGTTTAATATTAAAACATAAGACGACGTCTTGTTTATTAATATAAACAACAAACGCTGTAAAAAATTTTAGCATTTAAAAATCAAAACATGAACTTTTCAATAGAACAATATATTATCAAACGACAAAATTTTTTTTTTAAATTAAATTTTTTTTTTAAATAAGGCTTTAAATTTTTAAACCTTTAAAATTTTTTACCGTGTTACTTTTGTTTTTAATTTTACATTTTTATAATTTGAAAATTCGCGATTTAATAAACAATAAAGGGTTGCTTTTAATTTTCTCATTCAAGTTATTTTTGTTTGTATAAATTCCGTTTAAATGATCCAACTTTCCGAAAGTTTTCGATGTTTCGTCATTTTTTTGAGTGCTACAGTCTTTTACTGCAAAGCTCTGGCTTTTTGTAACTTTTCCGTTTATTGGTATATTATTTTCTTTTACTGAGCATTTCTGATTGAAAAAATGGTCTTTTAAAGTGTTTTTTTTATCATTTATTACAAGTACGTGGTCTCTTCTAATCAAGAATTTTTTTGCATATCGCAAATTTAGCGGCCTCGACTTTTGATTTGACAACGTCATTTGTTTTGTTGGCAATATAGGCGATCTACTTAACGCTGGTTGTTTTTTCACTTGCATTGATTGTTTATTGAATGTTGTCATTTGTTTTTTTAACTGCACTAATTGTTCATTTGAAAGAAAATTCAAACTTATATCTGTGTAAAAAAGGTTTTCCGAGTTTAACTCTTTATTGTCCATCGCTTCGTTTTGAATGCGATATTTGGGTGAAGTCATGTTAGATTCTCGTAAACTTGTTGAACATCTGTTTGATAAACTGTGTTGTCTATCCACTAAATTTTTCTTTCTGGTTTTACTAAGTCGTGGTCTTTTTTGTAGTTTTTCTTTTTTTTTTATGGGTAGATAAGTTTCCGAACTTGAATTAGCTTTCTTTTTGGAATCAACGGAGTCGTTTGTGCAAACGCAGGTTTTATTTTGCGATTGTTTGAAACTGTTTTTAGAAGATTTTGTTGATTTTATATAATAATAAAACTTTTTATTACTTGTTGTAAAAACGCCCAATCCTTCGCAAGAAAAATTTTTATTTAAGAGTGAATTATTAAATTCAGCGTCTCCATTATTTTCAGCATTTCCATTATTTCTCTCTTCGGATTGTTGTTCGAAATAACTTTTAGTTTTACGTCGAGAAAATTTTCTCTCAACGTTTTGCATTTCAAACAATGAAGCTGAGCCGACTGAATACTGCCGTTGTTTTGACCATTTTAACATTGTAAAAATCTTGAAAAAATATCGAAAATCCTTTATTGAAAAAAGAATTAAAAAAAAGATAAGTTATAATGTAGTTTTGCGTGTTTTACCAAATTTTATTAAACGATATATAATAATTTATACGGAAATCTATGAATTTGCATAGATGTCTACATAAAAATCGCATAGTCAAGACAATGACTAAAAGGTTGGACAAAGTTTATTTTTATCTTCCGCTTTAAACCACTTTTCACAGTGGTTTTGAAATTAAAAAACAATCAGATATTTAAATAACATAATTAGAATAAATATTTTAAGTATTTTTTTTATTGTACTTTACCGATATTTTTTTTTTTATATAATTTTTCATTTACTCGACTAGCAAAACGATATCTAAAATGAGTTTTAAAAAAGCATTTTCAAAATGGTTTTAAACAGTTCTTTTATAAATCAATATTCACAGATTTAAGAGATTCAAGAATACAAAAAAATGAGTTTTAAAAATGATTTTTAAAATGAGTGCAATTATGTATTACATTCATGCAATTGTTGTTATGCCTCATTGTTTTCTAAGATAAAAAATAAAAAAGTAAAAAAAGTAAAAAAAAAAAAAAAAAAAAAAAAAAAACAAGAGACACCTAAAATGAAATAAAGTGAATGCAGGCACCAAAATGTTTTACAAATTAGTTTAAAATTCCTTACAAAAAGTGTGTTTCATTTAAAACATATAAAAATTATTTAAAAGTAAAACTTTGTTTTAAACAATAATTTTAAAAATAACATTTTTGAACATATTAACAAATGTGCGCCAATTAATGAGACGTTTTAATTACAATCAAAAAGTGCTGATTTTTAATGTTGCAATTAATTTTAACTGCTGTAAAATTTTTTAAATTTCAAATAAAAGTGAGAGACTTTCAAAAACATTAAAATTGTTAAGCTTACTTAATTAAATTTATTGAAACAAAACTTGGCAGTATGTTGGAGAAGGAAGCATAGAACCCTTAAACTATTGAAGATTAACGATCGGAAGATTAAATGTAATTAGAAAAATCCACTTTGCTACGTCTTAATGAAACTTAAATTTTTTTAAAAGCGTTTAAATTTTCGGGAAACATCTTTTTTTTTTAAATCTCGAAAAACTTGTTTAATAATATAACTAGATATAATGTCCTTACCAAATCTTAGCAAAATTAGAAAACATCTACATATAGTCAAATGTAATAATCATACATGTATGTATGTATGTATGTATGTATGTATGTATGTATGTATGTATGTATGTATGTATGTATGTATGTATGTATGTATGTATGTATGTATGTATGTATTAATGTATGCATGTATTTATTCGTATAGGTTATCATGTTTACCATTTTACTAGTAATATGCAATCCAATACAACCTACCTCATACCTATTTTATTTTATAAATACAAGGCCGGATTTAACAACAAGCCTTAGACTATCAATAAAAGGAGGGGGGGCTCTATATTATAGTAATATTTGTAGGCAAAAGTTTATAGAATAATTTACGTATTTTTAGTTAAACAAAACAATTCTCAGTAATTTAATATATTTATTAATAAAGGAAACAAATCAAGTGAAATCATTTATTAATATGCATATAACAACTTAGTACTGATATGCTTTATGCATTAGCGTACTGCATATGTGCTTAAATATTACTAAACTAAAGTCCACAAATAAAAACTATAATAAACATTGAAGGGACTTATAATGTACGTACCTTGTACTCATCTGTATGCTTTCAACAAGTCCCTCCTCCTCTGCATACGTACGCATTATTTATTACAAAATCACCCCCCTCCTTCCCTCCTTTTTCTAACAGACTTTTCAAAACATTAAAAACAAAAAACAAAAAAATTTTGGTTAACTTGACATTTTTCTTTTACATAACATAAGATTGACTTCTTAAACTTGTGAAATTCGATGCATTTGTTAAAAAAAAGAGAAATTAGGTTATAGGAGAGATAGAGAACGAGAGATCAAACCGCGTACGTACGCAGTTTATCCATTTCTATTCATAATATAGTAAATGCTGATAAATTTTTGTGTGAACAGATTATTTTTATTATTTAGTTTAATTTAATTAGGTTATTTTTTTATGACTTTGAACCGAGAAAATGACCTTCCTCCTAAACATTTTATTAGCATTAAAGCTAAAAAGAGTCGTAATATAGTTTTGATGTTAGGGAACACTACATCTATTTTACCTGAAATATGATGCTATATAAATTTTGAGAAGTAGGATTTGTTTGTTTTTTTTTTTGCATATTTTTTTCTGACGTTTCATAGAATTGTTTAACTTCAAAGACGAGATTTATTCCACAATCTTCGTATATTGCTCTATAAATACTATCTATAAAGCAATATTCGGAAGATTATGTATTTAACTATTTCAGTTTTTGCAATATTTAAATTTACTAAAAAAGAAAATTAAACGTATATATGTTTAATCTTCTAATGAAATCGATAAAATGAAATCCATATTTAGACCACATGTATCGTGTTTATATATAATATTGAATTGTTATGGTTCTTTTTGAGATCGTCTAGTGATTCTGCTAAAAACTTTTGATTTGCAATGGCCATGTTTCTGTCACATTCTGTAGAGGTGTCCCACCTATACAGAATGTGACAGTGTTGTAATTGGTAATAAAACAGTAATGCTGTCAAGTCTTTCAGTTTTATAAACTAGATAATTAAATCAGTCTAAAACATTTTATTTTATATTTTGCCTAGCACATAAGTTGCAAATCATTTTAACATCCTTTACATTTGAGATAATAGATAATTTAAAATCATGCAGCATAAATCATGCAGCATAGAACATACATCATCAGACCATCTAATAAAACATTTAAGCTTTTAATTGAGCTATATACCTTATGAACAAAACTTGGAGCTCCTGATGGAGCTGGAGCAATACATCCAAAACATTCTTTTTTTTGCAATACATTGTTAGCAGTATCAAAATCAGAATATTATTAAGTCTATTTTTTACTTTATTAGGATACACCTTATAAATTAAAACAAAACTTGAAATAATTTAAGAGAAAACTTTTGTATATATCAATCAATCTATCAATCAATTCATATATTCTAAAACAGTTGTCACATTCACGGAAGTTTACAAATAGTACATGTACTAATCTTAAGTAAAAACCTTGCAAATTTTAGATTCTCTGTGTTGTATTTTTTCAATCACATTACAGTCTCCTTTCATATAAGGAAAACAAACCGGAATTGCAAATTCAAGAAGTGGACGAATGAATCTTTGACAAATGACATTTTGTTTACTAAATTAATTACTTTTCAATTAAATTAAAAAATATATATAAACAATATTCTAAAGTTGCTCAAAAAAATATTTTTCAAAAGACAGATTATTTTGCTTTAATAATTTAAAAATTTCCCTATATTTTCAGCATATATTTTTTGCTTTTTGAGTTGATATCCTTGTTCAAAATGAAATATAAACGGGTATTTTCATAGCCAGATTTTAAAGACACATTATCATGAGTTTAAAACCTAATAGTTAGTAGATGATATGACCTAATAGTAAATACGTTTATAACATAAATATAACCCAAATTCTGTAATAAATATCTATATGTTGTATTTATCTTTAACGGATAAAAAAATATATTTTTAAAGGAACAGTTCAAATGACCAGAAACTGGTGCAACTTTCCATTGTTATCTCATTTTATTCACGAACTCAGTCTTTTATTGTATAAGTACACATCTAGACATGCACTCGTAATGTTTATTTGGTTCGCTTTCTAAGCAAAGGCTAGAAGAAGTTTGCTTCCTGTTATCAGTACTATTTTAAATCACTCATGCTTATAGTAATATATATGTTTATTTATTAATTTTTTATATCTTTTATATAATATCTTTTTACGTGTTTTATATAGTTTGAGGTACTTTTATTACTGTTTTAGTTCACCTGTAATCTTATATGTATGTTTGTTTGTGTTCTGTCTAAACCTTTGGCACGGTGTTCACCCACCCGTAAGTTGCCATCTGTATGTTTTTGTACTTTTTTAAGCAAAAGATAGAAGAAACAAACTCCAACTTAAAATCCCCTGACCAGGGGCTCTCGGTTGAGCCCCTAGTCTCGGTTGAAGAAAGGCTAGAGATAATGTGATTTAACGTGTAAAGATGTAATGATGTAAATAAATCCCGAAAAAAATTTTAAAAATTAAAATTAAAAACTTGGAAGAACTTAAATTATAACTTAATAAATTAAAAGAAACTATTAAGGATGCTGCGCAACGAAAAGCACTCGTAAGTTAGTTTGTTAATTTGTATGTGAAATAAGGTAATGTTGATAATGTTGTATAAATAGGGTTATAATAGTAAGAGAATTGAATACAAGTTGGTTCTTTAATAGTAATAACTGAATACAAGTTGGTTCTTTAACAGATATTAAATAATGCATAAATAAAATAAAATAATCTGTTTTAGAAGTAGTTGAAAATTACTTAAATAAACTTTAAAAGGCGTTTTTTTATTTATCGAAAATCAAGAACATTGGTAGAGTGGATATGGCAGATTGTGCGAGAATATATAATAATAAATCTCATATACTGAATTTTAATTTTAACTATATTTGCTCAACTTGTTTTAGAAGCGAAACAAGACAAATATAAAGTTACTACGATTTGGTAAGAATAGTTGGGAACAAACCTAAAAAAGCACAAGGAAAAAAACTACTCGATCTTTCCATTAACATTTAAAACCATCATTTGTTATTATAATAGATGTGTTTTTTATAAAGGTGGCTTTTTTTTATATATTAAATTGTGTTTTTTTATTTATTTTTTTTATTTGAAAAATAAGTTTGATTATTCAGTTTTAAATAGTCGCCTTAATGTTCGCTTACTATTTCTATTTCAAAATATCCACTATGTAAGCAGATATGCACTAAATACGTATCTGAGATGTATTTCGATAACATATTTCTGGCGTCTACTTCTGAAAAAAAAGGTATAACAGATTTTTAATTATGACTTATAAATGCATATATAAGATTTATTCAAATTACGTCTTTTCGAGGTCTATTATCGGCGCATTATAATTAGGTCGGGTGAATAAAAATGAGCAATTGCTTTTACTCAGTAATTGGTCAGCTTTACGTAAATAAAAACTTTAGAAATTTTGCTTAAGTTTTTAATCACGTAAAGCTGAACAATTAATGAGTAAATTGCCTAACTTAATCGTGAATAAAAATTTGAGCAAAACTGATAAAGTTTTTATTCACGTAATTTCAATTATTGAGTTAAAGCAATTGCTCACCCGGCCTATTATCTTGGAATTATTTTAGATTTGCTTTTAAGGTGAGTTTCCACTCATCCGTTTTTCTTCGGGAAAGGGAAAGGGAACGGAAAAATAATCACGTGAGCATGCGCAGTTGTCCCTTAGATAAAATAAAATTTATTCGCATGGTCACGTGATTATTTTACCTTTTTCTTTCCTGTTCCCGTAGTAAAACGAGTGGAAATTCACTTACGTTGTTAAAACATTAGAACAATATCGCGTGTTACGTTGGCCCAACATCGGCTGCCAACGTTGTTTTTATATCATTATGGTTAAAAATGCGACGTCGCCAACAACTAAAAACCATTGTTGATAAAACGTTTTTTTAAAATCGGAAAGTGGTTATATTTTCTACGTTGATACAACGTTTTATTTTATACGTTGGCACAACGTTGTATTTTATGTTGTTTCAACGTTGTATTTTAAGTTGCTACAACTTTTGATTCGACGTTGAACTTTTGTTAGCTAAACGTTATATTCATTATTATTCGGAATTAAACTCTTATTAAATTCTATTTTCTTTATATATTTATAATATATATGTAAAATAAATGTATACATACAACTTTTAATTCGACGTTGAACTTTTGTTAGCTAAACGCTATATTCATTATTATTCGGAATTAAACTCTCATTAAATTCTATTTTCTTTATATATTTGTAATATGAACGTAAAATAAATGAATACATATATAGCCGACGTAAATGTATATATGTGACGCCAACGTAATTATTATATATTTATATGTATATAAAGATAAAAAAGCTATTTAGCAAACAAAAACATGCAATTAGATTATTATCAAATGCACACCGCCTCTCACATTCAAGACCATTGTTTAACAATCTAAAAATACTAAATGTGTACCAAATAAATATATATCATCTTCTGATTTTTATGTATAAAATTAATAACAATTCAATACCAAATATCTTCAAACCATTATTTAATAAAATTCAACACAAATACGTAACTAAATATTCTAACAACAACTTTGTTCAACCCAAAACTATATACGACTCCACCAAGTTTTCAATAACTGTTAGAGGACCTAATGCATGGAATAAGATAATCAGTAATGATATTAAAACACTTAAAACTCTTGATCAGTTTAAACAAAAACTAAAACTATTACTTTTAAATAATGCACAAACAGATAATTATTTTTAAATCTATCTATAAAAATATTATATTTTAAAACTATCTACTAATGCATACTTTATTTGTCTGGAAGGTCTAAATTCTTTAATTTTATATAGGTATTACAGTCTGTTATATTATAAAAAAAGTACTTATAAAGATTTTTAGCATTTTTAGATTTCATTAGTTTAAATAAATTTATTAGTTTTCTTAAATAAGAGAGAGAGAGGAAAAATAAAAAAAGTAATCTTTTTTGAGTTTTAATTTTTTATATTAATATTTTGTAATTTGTTTTTGAGGAATTAATATATTACACTTGTAATATATTAATTCCTCAAAATTGTAAATTAAATTTTACGTTTACTTTTTTCATGTTTTTTAGTTTTTTGATATTTTTGTTTTTCTGAATGAACTTTTAAATTTTTCTTTCAAAAAATAAAATCGAAAAAATATCTTTCAAAACTTTGAACTATTAAACTATTTGGCATTTTATATAAACTTCTTTGTAATATTTTGCTTTTTTCTTAATTTTTTAATTTTTATTTTAGTTACCATGTATTTATATAAATGTCTAGACAAACAAGGGACTTGGTGATAAGACAATCCCGTCTTCTTCTCGTCCTTGCCATTTTTAAATATTTTAAATTTCGGAACTTGTAAATATTTGTACGGCTAAATTATAAAAAAAAAAAAAAAAAAAAAAAAAAAAAATTATGTAAGTACGATTGATTAGGCTTGAACATCTAAACAAAAGTCATGTTTGTGTTGATTGTGGTTTGATATTTTAATAATTACGAAAGATTTTGTTTAAGTTATATAATTTCGTAATAGTTATATTTGGTCGAATACATTGGATCAACGTTGGGTTTAGTTCGTAAAAACAATCAACTTTTTGCGATGTTTATACATACATTGGACCAATCTAAATTTGCCAGATGTTTTTAGTTATTAAATTATTATTAATGATAAAATTATTACCGTCGGTAACAATTTTATCATTAACCAAATGACATTGGATCAACTTTGGTTTTGCATTGGAAAAAAGAGCCGACGTTCGCGATATATATATATATATATATATGTATATATATATATATATATATATATATATATATATATATATATATATATATATATATATATATATATATATATATATATATATATATATATATATATATATATATATATATAGTATATATATATATATATATACATATATATATATATATATATATATATATATATATATATATATATATATATATATATATATTGAGCACTCTATTTAGTAGACTTTAAAGTTAACATAAGATGATGAATAATACATTTAAAATTATACATTTCTTCATAAAAATATTGGTCTTGCATGGAAGGGATTTGGTGTTTCGGTAGTAAGATTTATCTTATTGCAATTATCAGTTGTATGATGAAGGCTACAGACAATGATAAGTGGATTAAAGGCGCATCTCTGAAAAGACATGGCAGTCACTCTTATGAAGCTTTTTAAAACATCATTGTTAAATGTATTTTTCCCTGAGTAATGAGTTTTGATTACATTAGTTCACTCGTTAATTTTAAAATATATTTTGTGCAAGATCTTAAGAGTTCAATTAATGACTTCTAGTTTCATATATCTTTTTTTATTGTTACTTTTCTATTACGGATGTCTAATAGAAAATCATGTAACAGGTTTTAAACTAGAATTTTAATGTGTTCATATAACTACACCTTATGACATATAAAGTAGCAGGAGTAGCTAACGGTATGATTCTTGTTAACGTATTGTGTCCCCGGTAATATTGTGTTTTATACTGATAATACTGTGTTTGCTTAGTAGAAAAATACAGGAGCTAATACAGTTCTTATTTAAGATCTTGCTTGTTGAGTAGAAATAAATTTTAATTTGAAGAATCTTTTGTTGCAGTTGTTATTATTAAGGGTATAAAAAAGACATTATAAGTTAGTTCAGGACTTTTCAAAGTTTTACTGATTAGTATTTGATTTGTAGTATTTAATAATTAAAACATTAACAAAAAAAAGAGAATATATATTTATATATATATAATAAATATTAAATGTATGATAAATATCACCAAATATAAAAACGATTTGTTTTTAACTTTTAAGCTTTTAAACCAGGTTTAATTAATTTATTTTTATAAATCTAAAGGATATTTAAAAGTTTTCACATATTTGTCAGTTAATTTTAAACAGTTTTTTAACGTTTGTCTTATTTTACAAGTTAATGATTGTAACCTAGCAATTTTTTTCTCAAATAAGTTATTATTTATATTGAAAGAATTTGTATGATTTGAACTATTTTTTACTGATATACACCATACACTCTAATAAACGCAATGTCAACATGTATATATATGTATATGTAATGTTTTTAAAAAAATCGGCTTTCAAATAGAAATAAGGGCAAACCTATCAACTGCCAACTTCCTAGACGTAACTTTTAATCTGAAAAAAAACTCATATCATCTTTTCAAAAAACTAAATAGCAACCTTCTTTACATCCATACCGAATCCACCCAGCCGGCATTTGGTGCTAAAAAGACGTCTTTTGAACGTTCAGAACGTCTTTTGAACGTTCATAAGACATCTTTTTAGGAACAAAAACCGGCTGGGCAATCATCCCCTACAAATTATTAAACAAATTTCAATTGCTATTAATAAAAGATTAACTTAAAATGCTTCTGACGAAAAATTTTTAATTCGTCAGTAGCAGAATACGACGACGCCTTAAAAAGAAATAGTTTCACAAATTTTAGTCTCAAAAACAACCCTAAAAACAATACCAAAGTAGCCTTTAAACGAAATAGAACAAAAAATATAACCTGGTTTAACCCACCATACAATAAACGCGTTCTGACAAACATAGGCAAACTTTCTTACAACTATTCATAGGCGAAATCCACATCATGAACTGCTTAAGTTAAGGAGTTTATAATTTTTGCTATGTTGTATGTGTAGCTGTAGCTGACCTTTGTTGTGTTACGGTTAAGCAGCGTAACCGTAACACAAAAAAGGTCAGGGACAGCTGCACATGCAACATAGCAAAAATTATAAAGAATCACAACAAAATTATTTTAATGAACCCAGCGGCTATTTTAGCTTTCAATTGTAAAAAAATAACCGAAACCTGCCCAATGAACGGAGATTGCAGAAAAACAAATGTAATTTATAAGTGGATTGCATCATTCCCAAACACACCGACAAAACATATATAGGTTCAACAGAGGGCTATACAAAACATATATAGGTTCAATATATATATATTATTGAAAGAATATATATACATATATATTCTTTCAATAATATATATATATATATATATATATATATATATATATATATATATATATATATATATATATATATATATATATATATATATATATATATTATTGAAAGAATATATATACATATATATTCTTTCAATAATATATATATATATATATTATTGAAAGAATATATATATATATATATATATATATATATATATATATATATATATATATATATATATATATATATATTTTTTCATTATTTAATGCAATCATATATTGAAATAAAGGCGAATATTTAATTTGAAAAAATTTTGTTTATGCGCTAAAGAACTCGAAAAGTTTAAAATTTCAATGTCAATTCTTCACCATCTTTAATTTCTATTGATGTGTAAACTCTATTTTCAACCAAAAAACAATTTGGATTTGCACTTGGAAGAATGTAATGCATCTCAGTCTTTACTTCTTTTGAGTACAAAGCGACTAAGAAATTTTTCTCCAAACATTGCAAAGCAACTAAACCCTTTTGCGAAGGTGCAATACATTTAACATAACATTTTGACGAAAACCATTTCGTTTTTAAGTTTTCAATTTGATCTTTCACATAAGTTGAGCAATATTGATAAAATTCGTTTTGCCATTGAACATTTCTGTAAAGATCAAATGACAATACTCCACGGCAAGCAACAGTACCACATTTACAAATCATCCCAGACAAAAAGGTTGCTTCAGTTGTTATAGTTTGATAATCAAAGGTTAGTTCTTCACCAGCAGTAACATCTTTCAGTGCAATAAAAGTAATATCCCCCATTAACCCCATATTAGGATTGCAACTGTGGTTAAAATATGAACAGTTGCATGACAACTTTTGATCTTTCCATCTACCTGGCAACGAAAAAGTATCTTGATCAACCATAAAATGAAAATACGAAATAAATTGTTTACATTCTGGGTATTTCTTAAAGCATTCTATAACTTCGTCCATTGTTTTAAGTTCGTTTCCAACAAAATAGTCACAATTATTGCAATTTGTGATTAACTCGCCTTTATAAATATTTTGTGAAGCAAAATATCCTTTTTGGTTAATACCATACTTTTCGCAAGCATTTTTTAATATTATTTTACTGGCATTGTTCTCACTGTTTTCATTAATTGAATCTTTATTTTCCATGTCGTTTAGAAAAGTTTTGAAAAGCTAATAATACCTTTCCACTCGCGAAAAATAATAATTGTGTCT